CAGAATGACAGATGGTCAAGTAAAACCAATTGCGCATGCTTCTAGAGCACTATTTCCGGCTGAGAAGAATTACTCTCAGATAGAGAAAGAGGCGCTAGGAATAATATTTGCAGTAGCGAAATTTCACCGTTTTCTCCACGGTCGACATTTTAAGCTACAAATCGATCATAAGCCTCTAATTTTGATTTTTGGATCGAAAAAGGGTTTGCCGACGCATACAGCCAACCGACTACAGAGATGGGATGCAATACTGCTAAACTATAACTTCAGCATGGAGTACATACCATCGAATAAATTTGGCTACGCTGATGGGCTGTCCAGGGTAATTCCTAAAATGAGTGAACCATTAGAAGACACGGTAATTGCCTCACTGAAGTCAGAAGAAGAGATGAAATTTACTGTGTGTAATGCAGTTCGGGAACTTCCGGTAACTCTAGAAAAATAAAAGAAGAAGCCACCAGGGACAAGTATATCTTGAAAATAAAAGAAAAACATAGCCGATAGGGACCAGTACACAACAAATGTTTTTTTTTGCTTCATCCCTACAGTATTGTTATACAGAGAACGTGGGTGATTCCATACACACTGCAGAAGCAAAAAACTAAAGGATTTTCATACTGGTCATCCATGGCAGCACTAGGATGAAAATCAGCCTAATGTGAAATTTTGTATATTGGCCGAATATGGACAAGGACGTTGAGAAGGCAGTGGCAAAATGTAAAGTCTGTGCTTTAGCTGCAAAGCCCCCCCATAAAATTTAACCCTTGGCCAAAACAGATCTACCATGGTCTAGGTTACATGTGGATTTCGCAGGTCCACTGAATGGATGCCATTACATCATAGTAGTGGAGAGTTTTTCGAAATGGCCTGAGATACAAAGGATAAGAAAACCGACGACGCAAAGTGCTAAAAACTTCCTGTTGGAATTGTTCGCAAGGTTTGGTGTAGCAGACACAATTGTGACGGACAACGGAAGTCAGTTTACGTCGAAACAATTTAAAGATTTCTGCGAGGAATACAACGTCGAACATGTTACCACAGCTCCATATCACCTGAGATCAAACGGGTTAGTTGAAAAATTTGTGGACACCCTAAAAAGAGTTGTTAAGAAAGCTAGGGAAATACCTGCAGATGAAGCCCTACAGAAGTTTCTACAGGTCTACAGAATTACCCCAAATAACGGAACACCAGCCTCACAATCGCCAGCTGAGGTGTTGTTTGCAGGTCGGGTAAGATCTGTCTTCGACAAATTACTAACGAAAAAGACAAAGCCAGGTAGAGAAAAATATATTCAAGTGAAAAAATATATTTTAAGGTCTATAAGCAGAATAAATCATTCTGGGAGATTGGAAAAATAGAAAAGCGGATTGTCAATATGATGTACTTGGTGAAAAGCGAAAAATTCACGTGCAGACGGCACATTAAGCAGATCAGACGTGGATGACAGCGGTCCCGCGGAAGAAACGCCGATGGAGGTGATTTTCGATCCGTTTGATCTAACAACGCCTGCAACGATTTTACCTGAGGTACGCCGATCCAGGAGAAAAAGAAAGGCAACTGATCATTTAAAAGTGGATACAAAACGTAGGAAATACACTACGATGTTGCTAAAAAAATGAATTTTTATTTTGTTTTTTTCTTCATATTTCCTGTAAAAAATAAATAAAGAAAACTGTTTTACTCATAAGGAGTAAAGTTTTAGGAGGGGGGTGTTATGGTGAAACACGCCTATTCTATAGTTAATAAACTCTCCCACCTAATATAAGTAGGAGTGGTAAGAAAAACGAGGGTCAGTCGATGTGAGACGACAGTAGTTGACAGTTAGTCGAATACGAAAGTAGTCAGCGACCACAACAAGATTACTTTGCGTAATACCTATTATATCAAGTTCCTAACGTTTTGTACGTCGAACCTATTTTAGGACCGATTTAGTACAAATACAGGCCTTCAGTGCGAAATAACTCCACAACATAATATTTATCAGTAGCTAAGTATTTCAGGACAATGGTGAAAATATGGGATCTATTCTTTTTGCACAAGACCAAAGCTGCTTCCACGTAACTATCATGTAATTATCTTGAATAATAGTATGGAATGAAAATATAAATTTACTGACCCACACATTGAAAATACTGATCAGCTTATCCGATGATGCTCAATATTCCCATCCAATGAGTAAAAAGACAGGGGAGGTCAGTATCTGCATGAGAAGATCTGTCATCACTACGGCGAAAAACAAAACAGCTGCAATCTGGTATGAACATTATCTAGTATATGTAGTTGAGGGAGCAGGTGTTTCTATCCTCTGGTATTTTTCTATCAATATAAATCAAACAATACAAGCAACCCCCCCTGTCATTATTATCAAAGAAAGCAAAGAAAAAAATGGTTGTCACAAAGCGTACCAAGTGACATAAAGAAGCTGGAAACGGGAAAAGATTGCGGCAAAAGTATAATTGTTCAGGCTGTTGTTGGAGCTTTGGGTCTGATAAAAGAAGGAATTCAACAACAAATCAACAAAATCCTCGGCGCAACATCTCTCACGGAAATCAAAAACATATTTCTAACAAATTTCTGAACATATCCTTCGAAGAACTTTTTTTTACATTTACGTGTTATCATATTTCATTAATAGCTGTCTTTTGTTTAATTAATTGGCAACGACAAAATGCCACACCCTTTCTGTTACCCTAGGTCATTGGTTATGACCCTGTATGGGATTATAAAACAAATGCAGGGAAATATATTATTTAAATGATAATAATTTTATTAATGTTAACAACATTTACGTTTTTAGTAAGGAAAGAAAATAAAATATGCACGCGTTGCAAGTGTTCTTTTGACAATACGCATGTGTGTTATAATTCATTAATGAATCTATCTCTTTCACTGAAAATTTTAGGAATATTAGCCCTGAAGAAATGTGAAGAGGAATAAGGTTTTACTCCAGTTTTTACTTTGCCATTGATGGGAGTTTATCTAAATTTGAATGATTGGTTTTTGCATGGGCTCAAACACTGATTTATGGCGAAGTTGCGTTGTGCGGTAATACTGCAGACATAAAGTAGGCGCCGGATACATTCCTAAATAGAAATCTGTTTAGTCATTCTGAAAAGTAAATAAATACATTTGACAATGAGCCTGATTCACACAAACAAGCGAAATAGGATCTATATGGATCCCAGTGGAATTTATATGCCTATATGGATTCCAGTGTAAGGTTTAATATAACTGCTGGTCTGTGAACATTTTCTAATATATATTATATAAAGTGATAATAACATATTAACATAATAGGTAATATCTTACATAATTCAAGACTATACACTACTGACAAAAATAATCTGCACATATTTTAACCAATTTCATAATTTCACCTTAGAAAAATATTCCTATATCTAAATATACCGAGCACAAAACATAAATAAAATATAGAGGAATTCTGATCTCCCTACTTACTAATAATTTATAATTTTTTTTTTTGTTTTACAATACGTGTCAAGTAATATTTCGTTACTGTCAATGAGAAGCAGGTTGCGTAAACAATAAATCTCGTAGTGCTTTGTGTTATAGTGATTTCCTAAGCGAGGACTAGTTATGACACCAGGTCGAAATTATGGAGCACATAGTCAGACTCGAACTCAGTACTCAATAGTAATGTATGCCTTATATTATAGAAAAGATCATCACGTCTATGTGCTGTTATTTTGGAAGTGCGTTGTGACGTAATGGATACCGGCTTGTAATGAGAAATCGGAGGGCAGAGTTCGAATTTCGGTCGGTTTCGTTATATTCACTTACGCGAAAATAACCTTCGAAAGTTATGAAACCATCTCTTATCCCTCCAGCTATAGATTAAACAGAAGGATAGACTGGGTTCTATAGCCTTGTTTGGTAACAGGACTACTAGAGAAAAAAGGGCTTCCTACTGCGCGAAAATCTGCCGAGCCTGTCATGGATTGAAAGAGACATGATCGCCTAAGCGTTTAAGCCCTGTTTATAATTAACTGATTAATCTATATATATATATATATATATATATATATATATATATATATATAATATATATATAAATCTGCGTCATGTAATCCGTTTTTTTAATTCTATTTAGGATTTTCTGTTCGTTCGAAAAGAAGTATAAACGTATTGACTAGTTCATATATTTATACAACGTTAACTTCAATTGGGTTGGAGCATTTTTCTAGATGTTATTAAAATTGCTGTTTTGTTTATTTTTTTTTAAAATAAAACTATTATTTTATTTTCAGGTGAAAATACCATAGGCTCCGGAATAATCATTTAAAAATGTTATTGCTGATTGTTATGATTCATTTCATAATAAATATTGTTTAAAAAACGCCTGATAATTATGCACCAACCCAATAGATTTACTGCTAATATATGTGTAAAAAAAAGTCGGGCATAATTATATCACAAAGTTTTTTTTGTAAATTTATTTTTTAGTCTAAAACTACTTCAGAGATACACAGCGTTGTATTAAAACTGGATGCGTGGCAGTTGTGAGTTCAATCCCTATATCTGGTAGTGCTGAAATGTCACATAACATTGGTTCAGGGGGAAAAAGTTTGGTTATTTTTTTTTGTTTTTGTTTAGTTGCATATCAACCGCTAATTTTATACGCAATTTTATTTATTCATATTTTTTGGGTAATAATGGTTTTAGTCATACATATTTTACTAATTAACCCATAGCCGGGGGAATAGGCAAATTTATACCTATCGCGTGTTAGTGAATAAGACGAAGCTAAGGAACATTCGAATTCGGATCTCGAATTAACAGTTCGGCGCCGCTATCTATGTATTATAAAACTTGTATTAGACAACCATTATTATCTCAAAACAATTTTTACATTCTAAAAAATATACCTTTTTTTAAAATAAGCCGCAAGTGTTTTTAAGCCGTAAAAAAGCAAATCAAACAATCACTCACTCAAATAAATTTCCGAACCGTTATCCATTAAACTACCCGCACATCCTAATTTACAGCACCTGGTTTTCCCAAGCGGCCACCCATCTAAGTATTGACCAGGCTCGAAGTTGCTTAACTTCAGTCATCGGAAGGGAACCGGTATTTCAACGTAATGTAGCCTTAAGACTGAGGGAAAACGGATACGTTAAACTGCTGAATGTTAACTGATCTGAAATATCCCCGTAAGCAAGGAAACTAAACCACGTGGATTGAATAAAGGATCAAAACTTCGTGATGGTTACTGAGTACGACGAGAAAGACCTGAAGAAGGACATAGTGTAATGGTCGAAACATTGTGAGTATAATAATCTAGATGAGCATGCTTTGTCTAAATACTAAGGCATATAGTACAGCTTATCCCTAAGCTAAAAATCATTCGTACTGAATTTGGAAACTAACTTAATCGTTTTCCATGAAGTTAATTAAAACTTCATAGAATATTGCTCTCGACAGACCAAATCGGGACGACATTCGGATCCATGTCAATGAGGTTAATTATATTTTGTAATTATTTCAACCGATGCAAGGTTATAAAGCCACTAACACTCAAGGGGTCATTGTATATGAAATAATAAGTAAAAAGAGAAGAGTAATTAACGAGGCATATGTAGAATAACCATACAATAAACAGCACTTACCGGCGTAAGGGTCCCAGCTAGCGTCCAGCTGGCGGACAAAAATAAAGTATAGATAACGATTGGTATTGCATTTAAATTTTTGACGATCAAATTTAGTTAGAATGCATAGAGCCGGAAGAGATTTTCACAAGCAAGAAGTGCGAGAAATGAAACTGTTATCATTGAACGTACGGTAACAACTAGCCAATTCAACTATAAATTGACGAGGCCTTATTGCCAATCTTATACTGTGCTTACACTCATAAAATATAGTTACCGTAGAGTAAAGTTCATCAGAATAATTACCATGAAAGTATTCAAAAGTCAGGGAGCAGCTACGTTATTGCCGTTGGAAAGTCAGTGAATCCAAAACACCAGTTCAAAATTCATCATATAAAAACTCTCAATATATATTTGGATATATCGTATATACTCGAGTATAGTGTGATTTTTATGATCAGTATACAATCAGCAAAAATAGAAGAGTTATATTTTACACATGTAATTTTTCTTAAGTGGTTACCCGTTGCACTATACGCATCAATGTTTTCTGAAGGTGTTAAAATTCTTGCAAAATATCAGGGTTTTCGGTATATATGAGGTCTGCTTATACACAGCTATATAATGTACAAGAGTAGAATAATTATAATCATAAAAGATGTAGTAAAAAAAAAGAATTCGAAAATAAGAATTGATTTATCGTAGGAATTAATGGATTTATTTTTGATCAAACATTTTTATTAATGCAAACTTAGTGGATACCAGTATTTGAATTAGACGCCTTTCTTTTTTTTTTTTTTTTAACTGCGATCAATATGCGTGCTGTAGATCATAAGGACAGTGTTAAATTGTCTTGATCTCTGTGGATGAACGATCAACAGGACCGCCGATCAAACGCTGGTTTTGTCTACGACGTAGGTTCGAGCAAATTTTCTTTAAGTTTTTTTTAGATTACGGAGGACAGTTTACGTAATAAACACTGTTTAAAAAAAAAAAACAAACAAACAAAAAAAAACAAGAGTCTATTTATTACTGGGGGATCCACTAAAAATAACGTTTAAAATATTATGAATTAATCTGTAAAAATATTTGAAGGAAATAAATGTAGAAAATGCAATTCGGAACGACTCTAGATTATTTGATTAAATGAAGAAATGGGGAAAACGGGATCATGAGGTTAGCGATCTTAATTGTTTCGTCCAAGAAGTTTAACGTCCCGAAAGGGTAATAAAGCCGTTTTTATGACATCCTTGACAATCATACAGAGTAGATGCTTACTATCGATAGCAATTGAGAATATATACATATATCTTTGCGTTGCAAAGCGCATTCTCAAGTAAACACCGAAAGAAAAAAAAAGAAGCCATTTTGATTCCAATATTATCATGCGACCTTTACATCAGGTCAGAATATTAAATTAATAAAAATCAAACGAGATAGATGGAGAAGTAAGAAAAATCCTTACGTTCGATAGCAATGAGTTAAAAAAAAAATAATTTAACGATAGATGAAACTCGAATCAGGAAGAAACATTTCAAACCCAACGGCAATTTTCGTTTGAAATAGTACGAGGCTGAAAAGAATGGTCTCTTTGATATTAAACGAAGCGTGAAAAGTGGAAATGAGTCTTGCAGAGATAATGTCGAAATGCCTGCTGAAAGATAGAGATAAAAAATGAATAAAAAAAAATTGTAAAACATTCCACAAGATGATCTACAGTAATATTTAAAGATCGTTTCATACAAAATGGAGTAATCCAGTTTAATATGTAATGTTTATGCAACTCTCACACAATGTGCGCATAAACGCATCCCCACCACAAACACACATATTCATACCCCCCACACATATATATATATATATATATATATATATATATATATATATATATATATATATATATATATATATATATATATATATGCGTTTGTCTGTAAAAAAAAACGGGTTCGGTTTACACTCCTTTCCGGTTTCTTGAACAAGAGTATAGAATTTTTTTCGCTTGTTTCCTGTTTAGGATTGAATTTCCGGTTCTTTCCAAAGTCTTCTCCTTTTCTTTCTCCCCACTAGCCTCGTGCGTTGTCGCTTTACTTGGACGTAATTGATTAAAAAATACAACTTGTTTAAAATTTAATATATTTAGCGGAGTAGAATACAGGATATTGTCGATGGTGAATTCATTGACATATATAAGGAATACATAAGGAAACTGCCGGTTTCATGCTTATCTTCAAACGCAGATATATGAAGAGTGAAACTAAGTCAGGAGGCAGTACTGATTCCGATATCATTATTCACTTTCTCTATTTCTCTTATTAAACGTTATTTTACATAATAGTCTACATATTATAAATAATATATAATTTTCTGTTTTAACAGCATATCAGTTATTTAATGCCGTAAAAGATACCTTTTTATTGAATATATGGTTTGTAAATAATCCTTTGTGTCTTCGGTTCAATAACCTGTCACTTATGGCATTGGAGCGGAGTTAATAATGCTATAATTTGTGGTACACAGTAAGAAAGAAAAAGAGACATAATCCATTAAACTATATATTTAAAAAAAAAAAATAATTAAAATTTCAGCGTCTCTTTTCCTTCGTGCGCATGCGTAGTCGCATCAGTGTAACATCATATTTGTACAATCACAGCCTAAATAAGAAAACGTAAAAACCTTTTTTCCACTTTGACATAGATTTTCCTAAAATTGTTCTTTATATATTAAATATTATATAACGTTTCCCAATTTTATGATTATAATTGTAATTATTTATATTAGTAACTGATGGGTGATTAACTTCAACATTGAAAAGATCCTTCACCCTGAGCGTCATCAAAAGAGGCCCAGATTAAACAAAATCAGATTTCAATAACAAGTTGTTAACCTCAGCCTCCAAACTTACGATGACCTCAGTCAAGTTGAATTGCCTAATCACTGTCGACATTTTATACTCGAATCGTAATCCCAATTTGTCATAGAACAATAAGCAAAATGATTTAACTTTAACTCTCATTCACACAAATACGTTCAAACCGTCGAACTATCTTCCAGTGATTGGAATAAACAGATGAATTTGTTACTATTCTTTCCTTCACTTCACCTTGTCTAGCCTTTCCGCCATGCAAACAAAAAGAAATGATTTCGATCTTATCAACAGAATTATAATCGTTTTGCCGTAAGCTTTTATGACCTCTGCCATTATTAATTCCAACGGCTTATCGCAGAACCCCTAGATGTATTGATGCAAACTCTTGTGTCAATAGTAAGAGCTACAGAGTTTCAAAAATATTGTATTGAAGTAGAGAAATTATTGTATTAAGTATATTATAATGACTTGTTTCGTAACTATGGCTTCTTCGAAGTCATGATGAACAAATCGATATTGTTTGTCCATTTGAAATATTATATTTATTAGAAAATATATTCAATTTAAATACAGAAAACAGTGATAAAATTACATCAAAGGGCCGCAAATTTCGGCTTGTACTATTATCCTGTTACGAAATGGTGTCAGACAAAAAGCGAAATAAACCCTTATAACGGAATGTGCATTTCGTAATATTCAAAATCTGCGTGTGTGTGTACATTTGCGCATATTATAATTCAATAACATACCTAGAAATATTTCCTTCAAGTAAAATACATATAACAATGGCAAGTAATCATATTCATTAACGAAACTTTCAAGTTCAAGAAAATCTTATAATTTTCATATAACTTAGTTCTTGCTTGTTTCTTACCACCTGCTTTACTATTTGAATGCTTAGCTCAGGTTAAGGGATGTCCAGACTTAGTGGAAGGGATATTTATTATTCGATTGTCATTTAGAACTTTGTCAAATTATGTGCTTGTTCTTGTGCATATGTTAAATGACATATTTAGGCCATTCACGTATAACACAGTCACACGAATTTATATTACAAACGCGCATGCAAGGGCACGTCGGCATAGTGTAATGGTTAGCAAGCTTGTCTCACTAAAGCAGTTACGACTGAATAGTGAGTTTGATCTTCATTGAGAGCCCCCGTACTTTCGGCCTTGTGCCATATCTAAGCAACGCTTAGAAAATCAGTACAAACGCGCATGCAATATCACACGGAGACAGCGGGTTACCGATAGAGAATCAGCTAGTCTTTTTTTGAGCAAATATATCAGCTAGACACAATGTAAGTTTTACTCAACTTTCTTAACACCTACGTATCAAAGATGGACTGTCTTTTGTTCCTGGTTAAAAATCAAATTAACTTCTTTTCACCAGAAGTCAGTTGTTTTTTTTTTATCTTGTGACAGATTAGCAAAAAATGCATTCCAAAAGCTAAACAAAGTACACAGAAACAGGTTTACCTCTTTAGAAACAATAAAAACTGTGCTGAATTGTTATAGTGATTTTCTAAGCAAAACTTAGGTCTGACACAAGGTCAAAAGAACGGGGTACCCAGTGAGGATCAAACTCAATACTCAGTCGTAATTGTTCTAGCGAGACAAGCTT